AGGGGTGGGCCAGCCTGGGTGGGGTGCCCTTCTCCCTGGAGGAGCCCATGAGCCACACTCACCTGCTCCAAGCCCGCTGGCAGGTCAGCCCAAGGCGGCGTCGTGAACACGAGGCCGTTAAGAGCCTGACGTGGTTCTGCGGAGGCAGAGGCAGCCAGGCAAGACCTCTCTCCACAAAGCGGAGGAAAACTGGTCCCAATAAAATCAGGCCACCGATCACCTTCTCGGTGTTTCTGGGCTGCGGCCAGCGACCTCCTCCCTGGACAGCCCTCCGAGGGCACCCCATCCATCCACCTGTTCACTCCCCTCCATCACCGGTTGACGAATATTTGCCTCCGGCTTGAGCTGTAGATGGCCACGTGCAGGACGGTGTGAAGGTTCCTTTCCGTCTGTCCCGAGCAGACACATAGGAGCCAGGTTGCTGGGTCCCTCTGTGCAGGTCACGAAGATTCTCCTCCCTGTTGTCTTCGAGAATTTTTATCATTTTATGTCTTATATTTAGGTTTATGGTCCATTTTGAGTTAATTTTCTATGGGGTGAGATAGGGTGAGATACGAGTGCTTCTTTGCACATAGGTACCTGGCTGGGCAGTGCCCTCCTGAAAAGATATTCTCTCCATTGAAGTTTTTGGTACTTTAATCAAAAATCCACTGATCTCCTGTGTCCAAAGTCACCTGTCCCTCCCATCTGAGTGCCTGCACTGCCCCAGCCCTGCGCTGCCTTGACTGCCGTCACTCTAGCCTCTCGAGTGGTATGAACTCCCCAACTTCATTTTTCTTTCCTAAAACTGTCTCGGCTGTTCCAGGTCCTTTGTTTCTACCTGTATTTTAGAATCTCTTATCCATTGGTGTGTATGGAAAGCCTGCAGCAGTTCCAAGGTTGTGCTCAGCTCTAGGCCAGTGTGGGGAGACCTGCACCCAGCACAAAGCCTGGGACCCCTGAGCCCAGCGCCTCGCTCCATTCATTCGGGGCCCCTTCATTCGTTCCACCAGCAGTTTTCAGCATGCAGAGCCTACACATACATAAATCCCTTTGTGTTTTCCCTGGTGGGCCCGCTTTCCTACTTCCTTGCATATCTACTCAACTTATTCATACTAGACACTGTAAGGGACACATGGAAGGGACTCCAGATGCTGTCATCTTTCTCTGAGGGGTGGACATTCTCACTCTAGCCCGCTGCTCAGTGCAGATCGATCTCTCGAGCTTGGGCAGACTCAGTTTCACACCTCATTAGTGCAGCCCGGTGGGAAGCGGGGCCCTTCTAACTTGG